TAAATGTATATTAGTTGTCATTCTCTAGAAAATAAACTCAGCTGCAGTGGAGACTTCATACTGTTACCTTTGTTTCTCGCCATCCTAGCATCACAGTGTAAACTAGAATGTGGACAGTGAGAGCATGGGGTCTTGTGAAGCTGAAGTGCTGATGGTGACACTGGCACTGACTTTAAAATATTTTACTATTACCTTGGACGTGCAAGTTTTCTTTGGCACGTTTCTCAGGAATATTTAATGACAGCATAGAGCACAGAGGCACAAAATATATAGCTTCTCTAGCGGAGTGCTTAATATTGAGAATGAAAACAATATAGTGTCCACGATATTCCTTGCCATCTGAAAACAATAACTCTTGCACGAGGTTGCAGTAATTACGGATCAGGGCTTGACACAAAAGAGAGCACGCTGCTATCGATACATTTACAGGAGGTGGAAGCCATGCATTTTCTGGGCATATAAACGGTCTCCATTTCACCATGTGCAGCTGAAATGCCCTTCATTCCAATTGATGAAGTCGTGTGCAAATGAGACTAGACTGCACCCACTGATGAGTGTAATGAGCGTGGCGAGATGGGTTTGTGTATGTGTGCGTGTGCATGCGTGTGTGCGCACGCGCATGTTTGCATGTGTGTGCGTGCGTGCGTTTGTGCGTGAGGAGGGAGGGTGGTCGCCGGACCACATTGCAGTATTTTAGGGCTTCCGGGACTGGAAAATTGCTTACTTATGGTTTACACTATGCTATTTTCGAGCCAACTAGCCCAAGATAAAAAATGACATAGTTCATCTTTTTTTGTTTTCAACAACAGCAATCATTTCTCCCACGACATGTATGGGGTTAGACTTTCATCACAAAATGATTAACATCACTCATAAAACGGTCTTAAAAACTGACCTCATTTGTGCAAAAAAAGTTTCCTTTATGCACTATATCGTTGTGAATATGCCATTCAGCTTTGTGGCCCCTGAGAAGTAATTTCTGTAGTTAGAATGATCCAAATGAAACAATGAAAAACCTTAGCTTGAGGTCTTGGCATGCAAAATCAAAGCATTGTAAGAAATCAGCAGGCACTGGGGTTCTTCCAATGGAAGCTATGTTTTGTGTAAAGGATACATCTTTCATATGACAAGCAGATCAAATTCAACAATAAAAGCAGGGGTGATGAAGCACTTACCTTTGAATAAATTCAAGTGTAGGGCCCACTTCTTCTAGGAACGAAATGTTCAACACAAAATAGAGCAGGAACATCAACTTGAATGAGCCTGCCCTGTTGCTTGTGGTCATCACCGGCAACTGTGTCAACACAAATTGTGAACTCGCTTGCTGTGTAGTTGTTGGCTCCTATAAATAACAATTGATGCAGTATGAGAACAGAAATCGTCCACCTTCATGCTTCGGGCCAGAATTTGAAAGCACATACTGACCTTTAACACATATGATCGGGCTTGAGTCCATATCACCCAGATCCGAGTCAGTGGCATTTTCCTGAAAGACAAAGAGTAAACAAAAATGAGGACAGACGACCTAATGTCCTTTTAGTATGACCCGTGCTATGTCTAAGCACTTGGGTCTAATTTGCTTTTGCCACATTTAGAGGGCAAGCTACTTGAATGTTTTCAAGAATTCTACATAAACAAACAATTTTGGACAATTCAAAGGTACTGCCTGACCTCTGTATAATTTGTTTAGAAAACAGAGTATGCCTTAATGATGTATGCGGCTCACTATTGATAAATTAAAAGCAGAACTAGAGTTCCTATGGACAATGATGCTGAATTGTTGTCGTCTTTTCGATGATATTGCCACAAGATGCTAACACAATCTCATGAGTTGACAGAAGCACAAGCGGAGCACAAAGATCGTCAGTTGCTTTCATAAAAAAAAAAAACATACACTCAAAGGTGTTCTCATTTGCAAAAACCACAGATAATGCGCAAAGCTCAGAAAATGTTGGGTTCAATCTCGGCTATCCCAAAGCGATGATTTCAAGTGAAAAAGAAATACCAAAACAAAAATGTACCATTGATGTGGGATATTGTGGCATGATGTAAGCTATATATATACTCGATATCGCTGCACTTTTCATCATGTGCTAAATTACTAGGTTATGCAGGCTTCGCTCATGGGGAACTCTGGCGGGCAAAGTTCAATTACAGATAAGCCAAATTGCATTGCTAAAATGTATTTATTTTTTTAATAGCAAAAATTTGAAACGTTTATTTTCAACACTTTTTGTTCCACGGCATCAATTCCACAATTTACACGTTTTTGCCCAGACTCCTATGCTCCTAGTTCAGCACCTGCGCCTACAGTAGTCCCAATCTCCAATATTGCAGCCATTCGAACCATCAGGCTAGAGGACAAATATATTCTTTTTTTGGTTGGTTGATTTCGATGATAAGATGAATTGAAGCAATTAAAGAGGCCATTTTTTTCGCAGTGAGGATATTAGGCACAGTACAGAATCCAATAAGTTCAGATGACTAAAAAGGTTGGCATTCACATACGAACCAAGCGATCGCTTTCTTGCATCAGCACAGGACACCAGAGTGCAAAGTCTCGTATGAAAGAAACGCGAATATCGGAGCAACATGTAGCTTACCCCCATCATTGTGCAGCGACAGTTGTCAGCGAAAACTATCATGTGCTTCGAGAATTGTGATGATACCAAATGGCCGGTGCTTTCAGAAAATAATTCGAGCTGCGATTTTGATTCAGTTTTCCACCACATTCGGCGCCGAAGCGCAGCCTTTAAATTCCGTTTCATTATTATCATTATCTAGAGATATCTAGACGCTGACTGCTGGTGCGTCTTAGTGAGAGAAAAAAACAAATGAAAGCTTCGTTAGAAATAACACAAAAAATGTAAAAAGCTTATGAGTTTACGTAGCATCCAACGCTTCTGCTGTTTTTTAACCGAAGATTAAGCAAAAACAATTCATCATTGCACCCCCATCCCCAAAAGAGCTGTGAGAGAGCAAAAAAGAATTGGAGAACGGCATTTTGCTTTTATTATTTATATGCTCACAAACCTAGCAATAAGAACAGTCAGGTCACAATATCGATGTGAAGGTAATCTCATGTGCATTCAGTACGTCTCGTCTCAGGGCATTCAAACCTAGGCGAAGGCATATTGTTTAGGACAGAACGTGGTGAAAAACTAAACCAAAGGCCACTTGGCATTATTACCCTCGAAATGCGTAAGAACTTCCGCTGACGACCGTTCAGTGGCGCGACGGGTGCAAAAGGCTGTTGGTTTTTTGTTTGCACATCTTTCGTTCCAGACCGCGCTGTCATCCTCGATATGAGGGTGAATTAACATGCAGCTGTCGACCAATCGGCACTGCAAGCTCAGGCTAGCAGCGCCTTCACACCTAACGGAGAGAGTAAGCCCTGGCACGAAAAGAACTGATACGTTGTTGCTATATGTTGTTTTTCTGCAAGGTAGTGAATTCGATAAATGACGCACCGTCTCAAGCGCATGTAGTGAGGATTAGTGCAAGAAAACGCAGACGCCTAAAGCACCGTTTAGCGCCATTTCTTTTTGTGTTCCGAAAAAGCACAACAAAGCCTCTTCTTTGTCTTATTCATGAAATGTTAAACTCAAATTACAGATGACACAATTGAAATTCATTTTTAACTCAGTAAGAGTGACTTGGATTTGTTTTCTAATTTTTAACGTTTAAAAGTGGTTCTCATCATGCTGAAGTCACAAAAGCAGACTGTGCTAGTTTTTTTGTATTTTTTTATCTTTAATGTCTTTGTAACTGTGCTCTTTGTTTTATGAGTTGCGTGGTGTGCATACTGCTAAGGCCTAGAGCTGTTTGTGGCGCACAGTAAACAGATTGAATAAAAAAAATAGTGTATCACACCCATTTTTGACTAATAATAGCGCCCGCGGTGCTTCTATTCCATTTTCACGTGACATCTTGATGATTTACTTCGATTTTAGATTTCTGTAGATCTACTTCGCTTAAAAAACGTAAAGCAACCGATATACTAAAAGCATTGAATACGAAAACTTACCTCAACATTTTTGAAGATCAATTCAATGTCTTCACCGAAGATTGCCAGCAGCAGGAGCGGAGTGCTGTCATATTCGGGGGTCACATTTTTTAGAGTTTTTTTAGCATCCTCAATGTCCTTAAGGCACTTCTTCACAGCCTCGTTCTTCAGTTGACTGTAGGCGTACCTGTACAGTTGTACTCCAACCTTTTTCATGTTATCATCAAAGACTTCGCTGACCTTGAATCCGAGCAGTAGCTCTGCATGATTGACAAAATGGTGCTCCTCAAACAGGAATGGCCAGTCCTCTTTCACCTTGCCTACCCCCTTGGGGCTGTTGATCAGTAGCCTCTGGGTTGCGTAAGTCTCACTCATGAGTTTTGTGACTAGTCTATCATCCCGAGATACCCTGCGATATTCTGTTACCAGACGTTCTCTCTTTTCATCCTGAGTGTAGGCTGTCTCTCCTGGAGGCAGTTCAGGCTTCCAGGCCACGCATCCGTAGGAGTCCCGACGGTCTGTCTTTGTGGGCTGATGAAACGCATCAGGGTCGGATGTGCTCTCTTCTGGAAGAGGTTGCGCTAGGGGCCTCTTCTTGTTATTTACACAATTCTCTAGTTTCCAGAGCAAAGTTTCAACGCCTTGTCCAATAACTGTGCCTTGCAGCATGTCTTGAAATGACAACGGATACTTAGCTACAATCTTTGAAGCAATTACCCTCAGGTGGCGCCTGCCCGGCGAGAAGCTCTCCTGGATAATTCTGTTACTCAATTGCCTCACCATTTGGTTCAGGTCAGACTTTGTTGGCCTTGCATTCTTGTAGCATGCTTCCAGAAGCCTCCGTGGAAACGAATCCCATGGAATGGAGAAGTCTTCGCTCCAATTCTCGAAACGTGAGGTGCTTGGAAGAGGAACACTCGCTGTAGGTTGTGCAGCAGGTATGGGTGCCTTGGTTGTCACACTGACTTCGCGAAACCTTTCCAAATGGATCCTTCTATTCACTGGGTTTAGGAGGTCCAGGTCGCTCTCCTCAATGTACTTTAGATGCTCCATGGTTGTTACACCGCACTCTTCTAGCTTGGAAACAACAGTTTCCACATCTTCTGATGGGAGGCTTGGCAGCCAGCTGGCAATAAGCGATGAAAGCTCCATCTAAGAGAGATAATGTAAGGAAATAATTAAATCAAATCCAAAACTGCATGCTTCAGCACCACAATGGGGCGCTGTGCTTGGCCCAGCCGGTATGCTTCAAGAGGAACATAGTCAATTATGCTGCTTGGAGTAACACATTTCAAACTTCCAGATTCACAATCATAGAGGTTATACAACTGCATTGAAGGTTCCAAGGACGACCGGGTGACTCGTACAAGGAAGCACATCGCAGGGCCTTTTGCCAGAATTAGAATTATCTGACCAAACACCAGCCGATCATCTTCTCGTGATAAGACCAGAATCATGTCCCTCCTGTACGCAAGTCCTCGGTACTCGGCATTATAGGCGTAGTAGATATCATCATCAGATCCAAAAAAATCCTTTATGACCTTTTGAATGTCATCACTGTATAGACTCAACTGAAGTCTTGATGCAGGTGTCAAAGGATAGGCAGTTGGAAAGAGGCAACCAGATGCCCTGTATGCTTGGAGAAGCTGGTGTCGTTCAGCTAGGGTGGATGTGATATTTTTGAAGTTTTGACAATTTCTCGCGCATCTTCTGAAGTAACCGTGCTTGCTTTCACAGCGCATAGTCCAAACTCTTATTAATGGGCCAAACTGCATGATGAGGTAAGGATAGTGCGCAAGAAAGTGGTGCTTAGGTCGTAGAGAACAAAATGGAAAGAGCCCTAGTCTCCCCAGAAGATAATCCTCAATCAAGTCCTTCAGCCGCATTATCATTGGAAGCGAGATGGCTGGAGTGCAGATCAGCTGGACGATCTCTGAGAGCATCAACACCTGCTGCCACACAGGATCATGGAGATCTAGTACTTTGCCGAAAACAAACATAGGCAGGAACCTTAGCATGTTCCAGTTCTGAACTGCATGCCCGCTCAGCTTCTGCTTTAAATTCACTTCCGAGGGGCGATCATTTGCATCTCCTTGTTTGAAATTAAATAAGGAGATGCTTCTGTTTAACTCTTCCAGTGTGAACCACCTGCACTTGTGGACGAAGTATTGTACATACAATGCAATATCATAAGACACAACACCCTCAAACAAATCGTGACCTAGACAAGGTGGCAGGCCCGGTGCACACACATGGAAGTACCTAAAGCGATTAAACAATGAGTCAAATTTCACTCCTTCGTGAACAATGAGCGTGTCATCTTGACTCAAAATTGTTAGAGACCTGTCATAGTTGGACTTTTTTCTCCGCTCGAAAGTGCCAGTCAGATTGGACTCAACAAACATATCTTTTTTCTCTGTTAAACAAAACCGACACATGTGCTTTGCTTTGCTAAAGTTCTCAACAAAGCCACCTATTGTGTGGCTTCCCAGATTGTCACCAAGGATCGCCACAACAGCTCCATAAAGGTTCTTGCCGTCTCTCAGCTGACAGCTTCCGTTTTCAAGCCTCCGGATGTCCTCTAGCAGTGGTGCAAATACCTTTTCTTGCCCGAAAAACTCAAAGTCGGACTCTTTACATAGAAGCACAAGTTGAATTGCGTGAATGCGTGATCTGTTCCATGGGTAGAGGTTTCCGAGCATGAAGTACACTGCAAGTATCTTGTGCTTTTTCTTTGCTGAGCCAAGGGGATTCACGACTTCAAATGCATCTTGAAACAGCAGCAACTTCACGGCATCCGACTGCTGATCAAACAAGGGAATTGACTTCTGCACTATTCCATCCACAAAGTCCCGGAGTATGCCCACTTCCGTGCTAAGTGGATTCAAACACTGACTGACAACTGACTCATCATACAGCAATGCCTTGAGAGTGTCAATTATTGGGACGTAATGAAACGTAGCATCTTGATTTTTCTTGTTTTTTCCCAACAGGATCGCTACAGGCTCTACATAACTGAACCTCTCCTTGAAGTATTCTTTACGGGCGTATGGTGACCGTAGCACACCTGAGCTGCTGTGTGCTTTGAGTATCTGGTCATTGTCAGATAAGAGGTGTAGGACTTCCTGAGATGTGCTGTCACTAATTCCAACAGAATCCAGTTTTCTTCTTAATTCTGATAACATTTGCTCCAAATTATTGTTCTGCAAGTCAAAGAATGCCTCACTGATAATTTGCACTGTGGACGATGGCACCAGATGCTCGGACAGAAGACGTAGATACAGGAGTCCAAAAGCATCAATTACTTGACTCTGATTTCTCACGAAGTCACCGTTCGATTGAGACCCCACATCACATGACGCACCAACCTCCTGATCAGGAGAATGATCGAAGTTGTCGAGAGATCTCTGTTCATCTACGTGAGCCTGTTACATTGCAAATCGGTGACAGCGTGATATATGAGATTCAAACGATGACTTCTTCTTGTAGGTCCTAGCGCATCCAGGGAAAGGGCATGTAATCGTCTCCAGTTGCAAAATGTGACCTTTCAGGTGACAGATTAGTGACTTCAAATTGCTGCAGACTTGAAGACAAGTGGCTACACTGCACGCAAGTGGAACAGCCTCGTGAAGCAGAGCAAGGGGTGCCTCAAATCTACTCCAGTATTTGTGGTCACGTGACAGGTGGCTATAGACGGAACCAATCTTCCTGAATACCCTCTTGCATCCTGAGAGGGGGCACTGAATGTGCATGTTGCTGGCATTCTTATGCAATGTAACATGCTTCAGAAAGAGTGATAAACTGGTACAGCAGCAATGACAAATGCTGCAGGTGTACATTGCACTGAAAAAAAAATTGATTGAATTAGATAAGTACTCCGCAGTAAAGATAAACAAAAATGCAGAACCAGTCATTCAATTGATTTGTTTAGAGGTAGCTGGTCTGAATGCTAAATGGTCTCTTGTGAAACTGTTATAATGCAAAACAAAAGACAAAGGGCCAAGGCAAGAAAAAGGCAAACAATTCTGTCAACACCTGTAAAAGGGGCGTGTCAGTTCTGCATCATACTTACTTTGGCTTTCATTAAATTCACTGTTCTGAAAGTTGACACAACTGCTAAATCTGGTCATAACGAGGTCATGTGGTTTATGCATGCAATGTCGTGACATATTTTCTGAGAATCTATGGGCACGCAGGCATTTTTTTACATGTTTCGGATTTTCGAAAGACTTGGAGGTGCTGGCAATTTTACCGAATTAATAAAAAAAAATATTTTTTTCTTGGCCAACCTTGTTTTGACACGCGAAGTATTTTGCTGTTTTGATCTGTCTGCATGTAGACCCTTGGCTACAGAGCAGCAAGGCGATCGTTGGGATAGCACCGGATATAACTGTGTGCTCATTGTTTATATTTTTTTACATATCCTCAAATGCGACTGTTTGTGGCAGTTACAGCGTTACAGAGGCTTGCCAACACAAATTGAGGAGGGCTTGAGACAGTTGAGGTCCATAACCTCTGGGATGGTGTGCAATGTAATGAGCACCCTCCCGGACGTCAGGGGACAAGGAGATAGGTACAAAGAGGGCAGTCCTGGAGGCTAACAGGACAATCCGGAGACTGAGCTTTAAGAACGGATATGAAGTTACGAATGTGATCAGGGAGATATATCAGGATAGACCGATTCCCCTCCTTCTGCCGAGGCGGCAGCCACTATGGGGAACTCACAGGGATGCGGATGAGGCGGAGGATGGGCTCTTGGGCAAAGGCTTTTTTAAAGGCCGACAGAGGCCTCGGGCAGCTGGGGGTTCTAATGCGAATAGAAAGGTTGGGAGGAAGCAACTTTCCGGCGTGAAGAAAGCGCCGAAAGTTGCCGGCGCTTGCCGGAGAACAGCCACCCGAACACCGCGCGTTTGGCTGATCCTGACCACGCGAACGCTTTTACCGGACATTGACCACTTGAATTCACCATTAACTTCATAGTAATAGTTATAAAATATTATGAAACCAACTTTTTTAATAAAAACAATTCTACCTCTTTCATAAGGACATCGGGGAAAATGTCCCATCTGTTATGCTAGGCACACGTATGCAGACACAAATCGAAATGTTCTTAAACGTATAGTATTCGCAAGTTCCAGCATTAGTCGGTATCGTGGAAAGTGAGTCGAATCTGCTCTCTTCTGATCATTGCCCTGCTAGAGACGTGAATCATTTCAAGCAGCGCCAACTGTGATGCTGCTATCGAAGGGTTTATGCCTATAAATACGTAAGAAATGTCCTCCCGCAAAAGAAAGAAAAGGATTTCGATGCGGATTGATGAAGTCTCGTCTCAGCCTGCGACGAGCGCAGAAGTGTTCTTCAAGCTCTTTGTATTCTGCGCCCGAAATTTGATTCCAGCTTCTGACGGATTATACGCGTCGCGCTTCGGCCCCCGCTCGGGCCAGGCGCGCTTCGTACGAAATCAGACTCTGCCAACCTAGTCGAAACCATGTCGCTTGCGAACTCGCACGATTCTGCTGAACCAGACGATCACACCATAAATTCCTCTGGAAAGATTATCGGACACACGACTGCCAAACCTGATATGAGTAAAAGGACGTAAAGCCAGCAATAATGGGCAGACTCCCTCATAAGATGTCATGAACTCGAAATAAATGTTTTGCGCAAGGTATCGTTAGTGACGTCCCCATTTGTTAACACTGGCAGAGAAGGAAAAAAAACGACTTTACAAAGACATGCGAAAGCACCTGATTGAAGAGGCATTCAACACAATGCATCATGCAATTGCTTTCCAATGAACACGCTAGTGCAACAAGCAGCTCAGCTAACTGCGTAAAAATGCAAAAATGAGCACCAAGACCGTTTTACCAAGACTGTTTTACTAGGCATCAGCACGTACGTGCGCAGTATGCTAAATGAACCAACGTTGCAGAAATGTTGTGGTTCATGATTTATTCAACAATCGCGAAGTTTGTTACGAACCACTGGCACAGATAGTTGTTGCTCAGTAACTACATACTAGCAGCAAAACCACAAAAATATCTTCACATATTACAGAATGTGCACTTGGACTTTGAAAACGCAAAATAAAGCCGTATTTAGCCTATCTTTGTTGTCAGACCTAATCTTCAAAGTCTACACGAAACCACGTGTCAAGACCGTTTTGAAGTAGCCCGATCCCTTCCCGTCAACGTTTTCGATCACTGCTACCGTATGCTCGTAGTCTCCGCTGAGGATCATTCACCCGTCGAACACGCACACACGCTGACACCGTGCAGGAGACATTAGGGAGTTTTCGTAGACCGCGCTACCCCCTACGCTAAGCGTTCCGCAACGAAGAAGTCGCTACTGCGCCTGCGCGCCGATAGCCTTGACTGTGGAGTTCCCGCTATCGTAGCGGATTGCGGAGGGCCTTGCGGGACGGCGAAAACGATCTACGAAAACTCCCTATTCTCCAGTGCCGAGACGGTGCGACGCTTCAAACCAGGCAAAGCGAGCAGCGTCGTTCGGCGGATCCGGCGACGAGCGGACGCAGGTCGAGCGCCGCCGATCCCAGTTGAGCTTTCGAGCTTCCCGTGGCTTTCGGCATCGCAATTCGATGCGGCAGCGGCGCGGTGGATCAGCAGATCACGGTACCTCTGTTTATCAGACTAGCATCGTGTTATGTGCCGTTTCTCGTTCATTATAAACCTCCCTCGCCTATGCTTCGTACTTGCTCGAGTGAAATTATTCATCCTTATTGTACTTCAGTAAATAATTGCCTGAGCGGCGACACCGTAGCTGGAACTTGCGAATACAAGCAATGGAAAACGCATTTATACAATTAGTTTGGTGGTAATTGTTGCGCTCACCTGTTTTTAGCGGATACCTCGGGCGAATGAGATGGCAGCCCCCGTGGGTTCCTGAAGGAGGAAAATATTTACATTTAAAAACAAATTTAAACTGATCTAACAATAGATCACACGAAACTTTTCAAGCGCGGTACAACCGGCAAGCTAACGTCTTCAGGTTCGGTTCAGGGAGAAATAGCACGCGGCCCGTACGCAGATTGGCTGCCGCTGACAACCCATTTCCGCCGCCGAGCTTGCCGAACCCTTGGCGGCAGTGATGTCCAACCCCCGCACCGCACCGCGCCGCACTGCACCGCACCACCACACCTCCGCATTTACTTGACAGTTCCGAGAGAGCCCGAATTGAGGTGCGAGGTGTGACAGCTTGTACGACAAAGAACCGCCGCGTACCAAGCTCCGCTTTCTAAAACGTGTTCTTTTGCTAAACAACTTTCGATAACATGGCGCTCAATCAGACCCAGTTAACACGCTGCAGCGTGCGCTACCCGCACGCCTTCCACAGTGCCGGTGTTGTTCAACGGTATCTGGCGCAACACCGCAACACTTCCAAGCATGTTTAAAACGGGCGCCTGTAACGGAAAAAAACTGTGAGTGCGCAGGCGAGCTGGTGGATGTTGATCAGAATGCAGAAAACCCGAGACTGTGGTAAAAGCAGGGAAACGGTGTCGAAGAAGAAAGACTTCCTTCTTCGACACCGTTTCCGAAGACCGAAAGTCTTTCTTCTTCGACACCGCTTCCCTGCTTTGGCCTGTAACGGGCTCGCGAACACTACGTATTTGGTTCAACATACGGCGTGGTCGCTTTTGCACACCTAGCTTCCGCGGAGTATGGAGATAAAAAAAAAAAAAAGGTAAAAAAAAACACTCACCTCGGAATGAACGGATCCTCGTCCAAACAAAGACGCCAGGAAAAAACTAGCGAACCCGCGAAGATTTCGCCGCTTTGCAGCCTCCTTCGCGTGGCGTCGGGGCTCCCTCCTTCTCCAGGCCTTTTCATCTCAGTAGTTACCCGAGCGGCGGATAGAGGGCGCTGGCGCATTCGCCGCCATTTAGGGAGGCTGTAGTGAGGGTGGGCGCAACTCAAAACCTGGAGAGCGTTTGCAATTTAATGGCGGCGCCTGAGGGAGAGGATACGAGAAAGGATATGCGCCAGTGTTGCCTGCACGAGAGCAGGCGCCCGCTCTGTTGCAACTCTGTTGCTCCATGCGACTTTCCTCCTCTCGCCTCCCATTGCAAGCAACGAGCGCCTTGGCGCAGCCTCTCTCGCTTCCTTCTCGCTCCGAGAATTGCAAACGTCGAGCGGAGAAAGCAAAGTTGCCAGACAAGCAGCAACGTCCAAGATGGCGGAATTTACCATTTTTCGCGTTAAAAAAATACTTAACCTATCGCAACAAAACTGGTGGCTATGGAAAAGTAATCATTTATACCTTGTGTAAATTATTCAAGCACCTTAATGGGCTTTTATGACCCGAGTTAGGAAAGAAAACGACCCTTTGCCCCATAGGCTCCCAGCAAAATTTAGCAATTAAATGGCGTCCATGTCCCGTGATCGCCGATCTAGCAGTTGCACCCACCCTCACTTGAGCCTCCCTACCGCCATTGAGTGGCTTCAATTTGGTTGGTTTCGGTTTCAGCGCGCTCGCGGCTGTGTTTATGTGTTCAGTTTCGCCTAAGTTCGTGATGCAAATGTGGCCGTTATAGTACACAATAAATAAAACTGTGGTACTGAGCCAATTTGAGAACCACAAAGTGGTTTCCAGTCATATTCGCAACTTTTTTACGAACACTTTATGATGTATCTGGTCATGTTCGTCGTTAATTTCGGTCAGGTTCGGCGGCAAAACAATATATGACGCACAAGGAGGATTTCCATCGTCTAAGGCCGTACCCACTGACCCTATAGTTTCTAGAAAAATTAACGAATGAAGAGACTAATGAGTCGATGTATAGTAAAAATGCAGGCCCCCAATTTGATTAAAAACCTCCTGAATCGCGAAAAACACACGAAGTCGCAAGTTCACTGCTCAGTGTCCGATTTTCGCGGACACCAAACTTTTTGTGAACTTTAGAGATTCGAAATGTCTCCTATAATACACGTATATTCTAAGAAATGAGTGATATATGCTCGGGGTGTTTTCTTTAAAGAAATTAAGTACTCGAAATATAATTCTATACTCCGTCCTAGCTCGGAAGAGGGGGAGGGGGGGGGGAGGATAACTTTACCTATTGACTTGCTAAAGTACTTATAACAGCATTTCATACCATTTGAGTTAGAAAATTAACTATTTGTTTTACTGGCAATTGATTACGATGTGCTTGACACATGAGATAAGGGACAGGCCCATCAATTGAAGTCTGAAAATTTGTCTTTGTATAAACTTTGCCAAATAATATTAAAGGGCCCGGGAGTAGTGATCTCATGCACGTTTGGCTAAAATCGAATTCTAGGCATATCTTCATGAATCTGTCTAGACAGGTCTCTATTCAAACTGATGCAACCTAGGATCAACAATGCTGAACTCGGGCGATTTCCATTTAGATGGATTCTTTTCGGCATCACATATTGCGAGCCCTTGGCACTTTCAAGCTGCCTGTGACAGATTTTTTCCCACAGGGCTTTTTGTGTTGAAATAACTTAAATAAGCAAATTAAACATCGTATTAAAATTCTTAGCACCCTTTAATTACTGCAAACATGGGACAGACTGAAGTGTATAGTTTCTTTAACTTCAAAAATAAACAAATCAAGCAAACGTTTATAATGCAAAAATAATTAAGAACGTCTAACAAATTTACGTGTCATGCCGTGAACAAAGGAAACGCCTGATGTGGACTTTACGATTATCGCGAGCATCAGATAAAATGTGAATTAAACGTTAGAAACATGTATATCGTATATATGCTATATAATCAAAAACAACCGTTTTAAATTTGTTACGAAGACAAGGCCGCAGGGTTTCAGGAAACACACATAGCTTCATATACTGAGTATTTTGGTCACATTCCTTAAATCCGAAAAGTGTGGCTATGCATATACAGTGTACTTCACATATTTAGGATATTGCGCCACTATCACTGAGCAAACTTCAGTTGTCATAAATAATTGGGCTGAATATGCGCCAGCGCTGACGCTGATTCCGGTACCTCCTCTGTTCTCACACGTATCCGGTACGCCGACGGTGAAAATAGTCAAAATATGTTACAGAATTAACTGCAGATGTCGTCGGGCACATAATGATGGCATGATCGGGCGGTGATTTACAATAATCCGAAAGACGCAGTGAAACGCGACGAAAAACGCGAGCGCAACGCTTTCGCCAAGGCGCGGAGCTAAGGGACAGCGGAGCGACGAGTTGAAGCGACCTTATGGCGGCCGCGTCACGTCATTCCAAGATGGCAGCGCCCACGCGCGCGCCGCCAGCAGTACTCTCGCCGCTCCTGCTTCCATCTAGCGGAGATCAAATGAGACACTGTCGTCTGCTCATGGAGCTTATGGCCCTAAAGATCAGTGCCGAAGGCCATGGTGTTTTATTCTCATATGAGCATCGCACGTCATGAATAGAAAGAAGCCTGAATTAAATTAAGAACAGAAGCTCAATCAACCGAACTTCTCCGTTTAAATAAAAATAGCAACGTGCCTGAGGCGGCAACGCAACACCGACAGATTGCTTCCCTGCGCAGGGCGTGCGCGTCAAACAGAGGCTCATAAACCACGGACCCACCGATACAGATTGGGCTGCCTTGAGTAGTGTTGGGCCGCATTCCAAACATCGTTGATTTGACTCGGCGTTTTAGGTTGTTCTAGGGGTGTGGTCGCTTGACATGCGTGACATGAACCGCCGAAGTAATTCGGATCTGCTCGAGTAAGATTTAGGAACACAGCCTTGCTGTAACGCACCAGACGCGCAGACGTGCTCTTACACCACTTCCTCCCCCCCCCCCCTCCCCCACCCAAACACGCACACACAATCCCCGGCCACGGTCGGGCTTGGAGTTTTGGACTCCTGCGCTTGCCCCGACCTGGTGCCTGTCTGCGCCGTGCGCTGTCGGCTCGTCATCTCCGCCGCCTGTGCCTTCAGATCCGCTGGTGCGGAGCAAGCCGGTCCTTGTGTGGACTGATGAAACCTTGGTCATTTCACCGCCTGTCGCCCGATCATTGTTTTTTGTGTATTTGCAAAGTGCACGTGCTCCGGCGTCTCTCGGCACGAGGGCGTCGGTTTACCTAGCCTCTTAATACAATTTTATCCACAGATGTTTATTTATATGTAAGGCTCGGCGTTTTCCGTTTTGACCAATAAACACCGATAAAAGTATGCCGAATTAACTTTTGGAAATTCGGTTTTCACCGGAAAATGTCAGTATCTTAGACTAGTAAGGAACGCCAAGAAGAGAAGGGGAAAGGGAGGGGGGCATCTGTCATCGTACGTGACCGCGAACTGTTCTGTTCGGGGACAGGGCAGCGCTCTTTAGGGAGTATTGGGGTCTGTCATGCAATTTACGTTCCTCTTCGTGATTCAGTCGTTGTGCGTCAATTTCGCTGTCGCCGTGTAAGGATCGGACTTGGAGTGTTTTTATCAAGGCGAAAGCCTTATATGTTTCATCGTTCAGTCAACCTTGAAAGTCCTTGAGCGAAAACCTGTCCACACGAAAGGCATGAAAAATATTCTGCACGCACACTCCTTCACATTTGCACCCTCTTCGAAGGACCTGACGACCTTGACGTCATCCTAGAGTTTGTCCTGGACGTCGACATTGACGCCGTCCTTGAGGTCGTCCTGAATATCGCGCTAGGGGTCGTTCTAGATGCCGTCCTAGACGTCGTCTTTGACGTCGTCCTTGAGGTCGCCCTCGAGGTCGTCCTAGAAGTCGTTTTAGACGTCGTTTTTAACGTCCACCTCTATGACGTCATTCTCGACGTAGTTCTTGAGGTCGTCCTTAAAGGGGTAGGGAAACGAAATTTCAGCGCTCATTTCCTAGCTTTAATGTGTTGCATGTTGCACCCTAACCTCAAAAACACCAGTCTTCCGTTGAAAAGGAGAAAAAAAATAATTTTAAAGCTAAATAAACGACTTTGAGTGTGCACCTGTTGGCTGCATGCGGAGCCTATTTGGGAGGTAGTCTAGCAACGTTGTGGAATCTGCTACGTAGTCGAGACGTAGCAGATTCCTTCGGAGCAGCGCCACTCTTTGACATTTCAACGTTTTATTCTTAGCTTTCTTCCTGAACCCACAAATCGCGCATTTCAGCGAATGGTCCAAGAAGGTGGAAAGGAAGGACTTCCCTCTTTCTCGGACCCTCGTTCGTGCAACCGGAAACAGCCATTCTCCCTCTAGGCTCCTTGCATTGACGTCACATCGCATACTCTTGAACACCAAGTAAAAGGAGGAGAGGGAAGCTGCTTTTGTAAGAATTTTGGTTGACAGATTAATCTCCTATAATCTTCTGGGGGGAGAATAGCGACGCCTGTACAAATCCGGGAGGCACAAAGGAGGATCCTGATAAGAGGGGAGCTCCTTCTTCCCCTTTTCTCTGGAGGGCATCGGAAGTGACGTCATGTGCAAGCCCGTCCCTCAAAACTCGGAAAAAGTTGCTTTTCCCACCACGTTCAGCCCTAAGCTGACAGTGTTGTGGGAGCTACGTGCTCCTTGGGCCAGCCGCACGCTCGTCACCCCACGGGTACTTCGAACGGCTCGGTTGTAACGCGCTGACGCTATTGACACCTCCACAACGCTGACAACGCCACCAAGGGCAAAGCTCATAACTACGCCAGCCTTGCTACGTCACGTATGCGGGGAATCTTTTCTTTCTGTTTTTGTTTGCGCCGGATATCCCATGACGCATCGCGCTCTCCGTTCGCTTCTCTTCGAGCGCTTGCTCGAGTGCACCGTTTGGAACGAAAAATATAACCAGTCGTTCAAAATACAAACGTGCGATTATCATTTACGGTTATTATCCGTCATGA